CCAAGTACTGCCCGGCTGCCACTCCGCTGCCTGGGTCCCTGCCACGTAGGTGCTCCCCACTCTCTTCCTCCCTTCTCCACTCCGCCCCGTCACCCCAATTCCCAAAGGTACCTGGCCCAACTTCACGTCTACATTCACTCCCCGTTTTCTTGCCCTCTCCGCCTCAGTGCCCGTCGTTTTCACTGTCGCCAGCTCTGCGCCCGGCAACGTAGTGGCCCGGCCCCTCTCCGCCATCTTCCATCTCTCTCGAATGTGCCCGGTCCGACCCTGCGTCCCCGTTCAGCCTCCCTCGTAGCTTCGCACTCTTCCTTTGCCGCTAGCGCAACGCTCGGTAGCCGCAACGACCCGGTCTCAGACGCTCCGTCTTTGTCCCAGGAGCAGCCGGTGCGGCTCAGTCGTATCGTTAGTGGGGGCGATCTCGGGGGAACCTGCGGGGCCGCTAGCTAATAGCTGGTCCGACTAGTTTTCCGGCCCTTCTACCCAGGTCCGACGAACAGTTCGCATGGCAGCACCGCAACGCGCCTCCTCCCTAGCTGCACATGCATCCGGCTCGTACTTGCGCCCAGATATGGCCCCCTTATTTACCTGCTCCCCTCTGCCCGTCAGCACTAGCAGCCTGTGGGAAACTTTGAAAGGAACCGGACAGCGGTCTTCCGGACAACGCCGGCCAGCCTGAGAAAAAGCTTCAGGAGAGACCGACTCTCTCTGGCTCGACCGGCCCTTTCGCCCCTTTAGCCTTTCAACGGGCAAGCCTTGGCCCGTCTTCTTATAGCCAGCCGTGGAACCGGGGGTGCGGGTCTGCCATGTGCCCAGGCGCGGGCCTAGGTGAAACGGTCGGTAATAGTGAAGATTCAGTCTCGCGGGCGCACTCCAAATAGTGCGCCAAGGTGTGCTTTTTCCACGGTGCCTTGGGTCGCTCCACCCAAGCACAACCCGCTCTTCTTCGGGTCCCGGCGGACGTGCTCACACTCGAGCCTCTTACGCCAGGTAGCGGTTGGCAGGCTATGCGCCCGTAGCCAAGTAAGGGAAGCCACGACCACGGGCCCCGCCACTCCTTACGCACGGACGGAGACAAGGAAGACTCATCGGTGTTCCGAACACACGGGAATCCCTATATGCATCAAATCAAGGCACACGCTTAAGGTCCTCGACTATCGTGATGGCTTCTAGACCCGTCATTACATCTATGTCAACGAACGCCGGAGCAGAATAATAATATGATAGTAAAATAAAAATATTTAGGACTGTTTAACCACTAGCCCCACTCCGACGCCGCCGACGACGAAACCAAAGGGGAATGGCCCGGCTGGCCCTCAACCCCGCGGTTCCGTTCACGCCACGCCGATCCCTGCATCGTCGCCACCTGGTCTCGGTCTCTGGACCTCTCTGATGAAAGTCCGACGCTGTAATCGATAACACTTGGCCCGAGTCTGGGTCTAGCTCTGACGGACATCTAAATAAGCGAACACAGCGTGACGCACCAATCTACAGAAACGCTTCCAGAAGTCACATTGTTGTCGATGCCGCTCTCCGCACGTACGCATAGGTTACAAGCAGGCACATCAATCAACGAGACATAATCTTGTTAATCCCTGTTTAATCAGAAGAGAAATTTTGGCCGGCGATCACGCCGACTTTTCAGTCATCAACAAATAAAATCACGCGCGCCTCAAGCTTGCGCGTCCACACACTCTCTATTCTAGTCAATTACCCAGTCAAATGTAAACGACAGATCCTGCGGTACACTCAAACTTTAAACTAAACTTATTTTCGGTTACTTGCAAAAACCAGGGCGGATACCCTTGTAAGGGTATTCGCGCCGACAACTTACCGGACCATATTAAGCGACGTCCCCGTCGCTTTACCAAATCGGAAAACTATGAATCCATCACATTCCAAATGCTGACGAGAAAGGAACTAATCCGATTAGCCGACAGACACAGGGTAGAGACCTCCATCAAACCATGCCTCCACAACTATATGCTGCCAGGTTTCTAACCCGGGCCCACATCGCCCAGTCATTAGGATGCTGACAACATAAGTTCTAAAGACCCTCTCAACCGTCCTCTCCCCGGTCCTAGACAACCTTCGGCTTCTCGTTGGGTGTCCCTAGTCCTGGCCAGAACTAGGGACGTGGGCCCTAACCGAGACCTTTGAAGGCACTCTCGCCCTCCTTCTCAGAGAATCTCTTGCAATCAAATACACATACGTATATTTGTATACTTAATATCCACTCAGCTCTTTCTCCAGTCTAGTACAGAAAGGCTAGGTCTCCATCTTGGCTCACCATAGCCTGGCTGATCGGACCAGGACTACGGCCCACCACATTGTTATTTTAGCGGCAGTACCCTCGTTGGTTACGCAATGATAGGTTTTCTCCGGATAAGCATTCAATCAGGATTTTCCAAAAAAAACTCAACCTTCACTATCCCACGGGGTAATTTCCCCGGGGCGGGTAACTCCCCTTAAACTCTTACTCCACGGTCTCACAGCCAGGTTGCGCCGACTAGCAGCCATCCACTGGGGTTACACCCTAGAGGTGCTAATCTTTACCGCTTAGCTTGGTATTCCTCCAATATGTCCCAGAACTAGCACAAGTGGTTAGACGGAGTGTCGCAAAACCAATCACGGGCCCATTGCGAGATCACGCAGGGGTCTGAAGGCATTTACCAGCTCTCCCACGAAAGGCATGGCATCCTTCGCACAACCACAAACAAAATCACCGCTAGGTCCACAAGGCCGTGACCCCTGACTTGATCAGAGCCAGCAACCACCCATCCTGAGATGTCTCTCGCCCTGCACTTTTTTGCGACTTTCTCAAACATCTCAAGCAAACGTGGCCCCTTTTTGTCAGACTTTATCAACTCAAATACTGCTTACCATGCCCTTAAATCCACTAACCACCTTTCACACGAAGGAGATCTCTCTCAATAGGTCTCCCAGTCGTCCCTCTCTTCTTAGGATGAGCAATCACACGACCCTTTTTAAAATACCCCCTTTTTTGGGAAGGAGTCTTCCGATAAATAACATTACCACCTTCCTTAATCTGAAGAGGTCTCAATCATAGAACAACTCAACCATAAAATAACTCAAACTGAGAGGCCTACTTATGGGTCCTCTCCACAACTCAACCACGAACCAACTCAACTGAGGGGCCTGCTTATGGGTCATTTTTGCGACTTAACCATCAAAACACCCGGCATGGTAGGTATTCGAGTCTCAAAGACTCGCAAAAATTCCTTAGGATCCTCACACTTTCACAATAACATACTACACTCCCTCTCCTTACACTCGGCCTTGTCCTGCCTGTAGGCAGGCCGCACGAGTATACCGAAGAGGAGACAGTTCACATCCATTCAATCTCATAAAATCCACACAATCCAATACACATGAGATGCATTCCACACGTCTTTCACACAAAGTCATCATATATCAGGATAAAACCACACATGTGAGAGTGATTGTGATCGGCATATACAAAAGACAGTCTCGGATAAGGCCTCAATTCAATATATACACAGGGGTACAATACCCCAACTCAAACGCGAGCCAAATGTCTCGAATTACATATATACACTCGGAGTTGAACGTCACTGGTATCACACAAGAACAAATGCGGTCTCCCTGACCAAGCTATAGCTAACAGAGTTTGATCTTGACGTAGCCATACTCCTCAATCCGAGGGACCCAAGTAATCCAGAACATATCCAGATATCCAAAGAAAAGTAAGGCTAGGAGTCGCCCATACACCAGTCCTGCAACTTCCTCCCTAGGCTAGATGACCTATCTCCCCCATACTGAGGTTTCTTCCCAAACCTCCCCTACCTCTCGCACCTATACGTCTATCTAGGCCTAGGCACGACGTAGGTCCCATACCTTCTTCTCTCGACCAATAGGCCTAATGGAACAGATCCCTACTTCGTAACAATGCCCTCAGGGTCACCCCTTGCCCCATCAACTTGAGACATCCCAATGACATGATGTGGGGCAGACCTAACATTTCCCACCTATACAGTCGTTCTATTGGGGTCCCTCCTGCCTACAACTCAGGCCACCTTACCGGACCATCAGTACGAAAATCCCTTTCCTCTGTACGTTGTGCCTATCTGCAGCGGCTATATAATTGGGATTTCTCGCTTATACTTACAGTCTACTTAAACTTTCAGGCCCTTCTCCCACAAACCCTTTCTCTTTACGACTACTTTCACGAGGCCGTGCTCGATGTTGCATCTCGCCGCAAAGCCTCCTTCTGTGTTCCCCCTGGGATGGTTGGGTCGATATACTCTTCCCGGTCCTGTCGAAAACACCTCCCTCAATATTAGTCTTTATCTGACCGCTTGCCTCATCGGCCCTTCGTTCCCGACAAAACTTCATTATGTGCCCTTCTTTGGCACAATGTCTGCAAGTATCCTTTTCCCAACCTGCTTTCTTCCCTCCAGAGCCACCCTTACCGCCACCGCATTTCCCCTTTCCGTGCCCCTCATCCCTACAACCCTTTTCAGCTTTTCGCCTTTGACCACCTCCACCGGCCACGTGGCCTTCTATCGCTCGTGGTATCGGTGGCTGCAATGGCCCCATACACAAGGTTGGCCGAAACTGGACTGCAGGAGGCCTAGGTGGCATCATACCCATTTGTGGGCCCAAACAAACGCCTTGTACACAGGCCAGATATGAATTATATATGGGCCTTGGTCCCACTTGACCGTATGGCGTCCACGGCCCGTATAATGCCCGCTCAGTCAGCGAAGGCCCCGCCTGTGCTGGCTTTCCTCCCAATTCTTGCAGGGTGGCCCCTCCCTGCCGCATGCCCTGCCCCTTTCCGATACCTTGGCCCCCCTGGGCCCGATTCCTCGCCTTCCGCTGAACCTTTGTCAATCTGGGAGGTCCAGGCTCCCTTTTTTCTCCCGTCACGCCCTTTTCTTTACTTCTTTGAGGGGTGCGGTCAATCTTTCCCCAACGATCACATACCACCTTTACTCAGTGCTCTGGCCACCACTCACCCCCTTGCCTCCCTCGACCCGCAGCCAAGGGTGTTTCCCTGTTAATGGGCCCTCCCTCTGGCTCAGGCGCAATAACAGGTGGAGCGATACTGGGTTCTTGCTCCTCCTTGATCTCAATGACCCCCTCACCTTCACCTCTTTCCGGGGCGCAAGCTCGTCCTCGCGGGGCTTCCTTGTGGGGGAGTAGCTCCTGATAATCCATCCTTGCCTCTGCCTCGCCTCTTGCAGTTGGCCCACTCGATGCTCCCTCAGAGGCCTTCCTTTTGCCATTCCTGGCCTCTTCCAGCCATGCTAACCTCTCTTTCAATACCCCTACTTGCCTTTGTAGACTGCTTAACTCTGCCTGCGATGGTCCGCCCGCAACCGGTGGCACAGAGCATTCCCCACATTGGCCTTCTATTCCATCTTCTGGGAATCTTAGCTTTAAGGAACGCTCCAACTCATCCCACGTTTTCGCCTTCTGCTTGAGGGTATACACCTCCTCACTTAGTCTTTCACAAACGAACAAAGGGAACATGCACCACATCGCTTTCTTGTCCCACGTCTTCATAAGGCTAAAATCATGAAAGTCTCGCAGAAACCCGAACAAGTTCCTTCCTTGGAACAACAGGGCACGGAGGTCTGAGGGCATTGACTCTTGCAACGCTTCGTGCAGCAGTATCTTCATGAGGCATGAATTCCTCCAAAGCAAGATCTTTGCAAAGCCGCTTTCTTCCGCCATGATGCTGACAGCAGCCTGATACGCATAGCGGGCAATAGACCATCAAACAATGATTTAAGTAAGCTCAGGTAGACAAAGGCAAACTGCTAACACTTAGATCACGCTATCTACCCTTTTTCTCATGCAATCAGGCCTCAACCACTAGTTACCTTGACGCTCACCTTTATAACTATGGTAATGGGTAGGGAGACGACCACAACCAAGCCAAAAGAAGCGCATTTAGTGGAAAGAGAAGGCATTCCCTATCGGCCTACTGCTGCCCGAATGTTCTCCCAGTCCTCATCCCCTTCATCTGGATCATGAGTACTGGCATATACGTCAACTATGCTGGCCGCGCTCCTAAGCCACTGATTAGGAGGCGAAAACTTCAGGTCTAAATACAACCCATATATCATTTTGCATGTATAGCGCTCATATTCCCATCCTCGCGCCCTCAAAGCCGCTTCTGCTGCCGCCTCTATCCTTGCCTGTCCACCAAAACTCTTCTCAATCAAAAATTCGGGCAGGATTACCCGTAGCGGGGCAGATGGACGTCCGAACTCTCCAGCGTGCTTAACCTCTACACGGGTTAGTACTTGCTTTTCCCCATCACGGGACACTTCTCTCGCCCACTTTGTCGTAGCTGCCTTGGCTACCCTCAGAGGCCTAGCAAGCAGGTTTTCGTGCCCAAGCGCCAACTCTATCCCATGCTCGATCCAAAAGGTGGCAGAGGCGTACAGGGTTACCTTTACAATTGCGCATTCCCGCTCATCATCAAATCCAGACTCGATCCAGACAAAGATGTCCGTGCCCATCAACATGCCCCACCATGAAGAGAGGTACTCTCCCGCTCTGACCCGCCTGGGTAAAAACACCTTGAGCCCTCCCTCTCTCTCAATTGGCCCGAGCATACGCGGGTCTTCCCGTGCATGAGGCATCCTGAGTTGCCTTTGCTTTGTCTGGGTTCTGCTCATCACAGACAAACGTTCAACATGCGCCTTCTGTTATTCACCTGGCAATCCGTGCTCCCCTGGGAAGAGCGATCCAACCGCACAGGCTTAATGGCCCACCATGAGCCAACTGCTGGACCGGGGACATTCATATAAATTTCTACAGACTGATAAGATCCGAAATATGACCCCAATAAAATAACCCACACGAAATACTCCTAAAAATGGTATCTACTTAAACATATAACTCCACATAATTAGGCGTAAACTAGGCTTACAAGGTCTGACATCCATAGATGAGTCCAATGTACGATTCAAAATGACATCCTCAAAACAAATGGTCTCAAGTCTTTTAGCTTCCTAAGTGGATGGTCCAAACCTGGAAGGGGCTCAAAGCATTAGTCTACCATAAATAACATGACATACCTTCCACTATCAGGCGCCATACAAGTCTACTACTTCCCGTAGTCCTTTCTATTGGGGCCTTACCATGGTGCTCATTGCATCTCTTTACTGCCTTATACGCCTAATTTCAAACATACCATGTGGAGCAAGCCTCAGACTTCTATGGCTATGCAACTCGAGCAACTGCTTAGAACCCAAATTCTAGGATCCCAATTCATTCTCATACGGACTCTCAATATCCTTAGCCTAACTCTCCTCGAAGTCCCTTGACGACTTCTAACATAGTAGATTTCCTTTACTCATTCTATGCCTTGCCCTAAAGCCAAAGTACCCTGTTGTACTCTTGACCACTCGAATAACCCCCCTTAGTCATAAGGGGTACCTTATGAGGCTAACTCCCACCACCTACCACCCTTAACTTTGTCGATACCCCCTCATCCTACCTTAGTAGTATCAAACATACAAATCGTCGTCCACACCCATCAACTATCGGGGTCAAAAGAGGTATCAACTCCAACTACCGTCATACTAGTCAAACTACGCAAGTGCATAGTCGAAGTACGTGTGCGCATAGTCAACGTACGTAGGCGCATAGTCAAAGCTTACCCCTTTCGCGCCACCCTTACTGCACCGAACAAGACCAACTTGCACAATCACCCGTCACTTGGTCTCTATCCAATGCCAGCAATCGATTAACCAGGAAGGTCAAAAGAAACTTCTTAATTTGCCTATTTCTCACATTCCAACACCCGGATGTCGTTCCACCAGGGATAACGGTAGGCAGCCGTTATCCCCGACAACGGCGCCACCTGCCGAGCGCATCGGTCCGGCACCGCACGTGGCAGCGCGGGACCCTCTCGGCCACGTCACGCAGGAGTTGGACCAACCTCATCACGGACACACAAAAGGAGCTTCCTTAGGCCGCTCCGACCGAGTGCGCCAGCCATACCTCTCGCGAGCCCCTACGACAGGATAGGGCCTACGCGAGGCACAACTTACCTCCACCTTACGGGAGCTGTCACCTCCCTTTGGCCTGAATCCTCCCTCAGAATAAAACAATCAAGGAGAGATGAGTCACTCGTCTTAGAAACAATACTCAGCTCCCCTGTCTTCAGCACACAAAAAGGAAGAGTACCCTGGGTCTGACCCAGAGACTGTTCAGAAACCACCCAAGTAAATAGCGACCAGACCATTCGTCTTAGAAACAATGTTTGGCCTTCAAAGTCAAGCAAACAATACCCCTCAGAAATAAGTAGCCAGGCCATTCATCTTAGAAACAATTCCTGACACAATTAAAGAAACACAGCAACCAAGCCATTCGTCTTAGAAACAATGCTTGGTTCTTAAAAAAACAGAACAAAACACAGCAGTCAGGCTATTCATCTTAGAAACAACGTCTGACCCTATAAGACCCGTTCAATCGCAAGCAAAACTGCCTTCCTCCCAACCTTCCCCCTGATGCAACCCTTTGTGACTATCTGCTTTCAGGCAATCAAAGAAACTGAAACTGCCATTATACATGCATTCCTTTAGTTAGTCTGATTTGTGTCCCAAAAGTCAAAGTAAGTGTTGCATACAGCCCAATCAACCAATACGTAGGAAGGTGTATAGGTAGGGGGTATACTGGGTTTATAAGGGAAAGCAAAGGTTACCTTTCAGTTCCCTGCCTCCATAACTCCTCCTGAGTTCCGGCAGAGCTCCCGCAATCGGTGGGACGAACCTCCCACAGAGGCCTTGGCGCGGATTACGGGTTGCAATCCCGCCTGCCGCCTTCCTCTCAGAACAGGACTAGATTTAGAATAAGAAAGGCAGGTAGAGATAGTTTTGAGACTCTCAGATACAAGAGAGGTGCACTCAGACTCGCGGGAGAGGGCCTCGCAATCTTCAATGCGCCTGAGGGCCCCGCAATGGCAGCCAAAAGTAGCAGCTTGGTCAAACCAAAGTCAAACCACCGGATATTAACTTCCTGACAACCCCTCTAGCCGCAGTAGTAGCCCTACTACAGCCTGATCATCCCACCAAGCCCCGATACCATGATATGCCCAATAACCCGTAAAACCGAACGCGTAGCGGCCTGGTCAACCACTAGTCAAAATACCAGCCGCTAAGAGGCGTGACCAGGCCAGTAGTGCATAGTAACCGTAGCGAACACAGTCGGCCACCACCGTAGACTTCAGCAACAAGCACGTCGTAATCATTTCACAATGAAGGCTGCGCACGACAGCTTGCACAGTCTTACCATTAGCCCCTCTGTGAGCCGGTGGTTCACCAGCGGCAATCCTGCAATCCCAAGCTGCTCGGCTACTCAGATCTCAATCACTCGGTTGCTCGACCCGCAGGCGACTCTCCCTCCGAGACTAATCCCCATGGCAGAGGCGTCCCGGCCAAGTAAGTATTTCTCCCCCCCCCCCCCTTCGTGCCGGTTTTCTTACTCAGAGCTCCCCTGCCCCGCGGCTCACTCCTTCCCGCTACTCCCTCAAATCGAAATGAATTTTTCCCTACAACGTGGGGAGATTCATAACCAGCTTTTCAGGCAAGGAAAAATTCCCATTTCCACCCCGCAGCCCCTACACATCGCATCACTGAAACCGTTACCCCACCGCCAAAGCCGACTCCGCCAT